ACGCATTTTAATATTCACATTCACCCAACCGCGCACTGCAACGGGTTATGTTTATATATAATATATATACGGTGTCGGACAAATATAGGAACAGTCCCGGTTGAAAACAAGTATAAAGGTTTTAAAAATTCGAACAATACGGGTTTGTATGCTAACTATTATAAAGTAAGGAATTAAAAATTCGAACAATACGGGTTTGTATGCTAACTATTATTATAGGCTCATTCAGTATGTTTAAATTTTACTAAATACAAAAAAAAAACGTTAACTTCGGCTGCACCAAAGGTATAATACTCTTCACAAATGCATTTCTTATGGCATAAAAGCGCATAAAACGATATTAATCTTGATTTTGCTTGGTCAGTTTATATTGCAGCTATATGCATTTCATCGGAGATTGTACCGCTGCCTTGGACAATAGTTTGTGTCAAATTTCGTGAAGATATCTCGTCATATAAAAACATGTTCCATACAAAAGCATGTTACTTTTTATTCGACGAGATATCTTTACAAAATTTGGCACGAATTATTATCCAAAGCAACGCTACAACCGCTAAATAATTTTTTCAGATCCGACCGCTATAGCATATAGCTGCCATACAAACTGAAGTTCTTGTATTTAACTTTTTTATTTATGAAAGGTGTTAAAGCTTCAGTGCAATCGAAGTTAACGTTGTTCATTAATCGACAAATTCGCAAAAAGTTGTTAACCATATTTTTTTTTTGTGAATAAAATGCCAGCTTTTCCTCAAACAAAAAAAATTAACAAAAACGATGACGTTAAAAAATAATTTGTCATCGAATGCTACTGTGTTAAGTGTTCGTATTTTTTTGTCCGACACTGTATGTTTGTATGTATGTTTTCATATGCAGCAGAGATAGCCATCCATTCACTTGTGCAGCAACAGAGAACACCAAAGATATGCATCGCTGCGCTGTGCTAGCGACAAGGCAAGTGTGCAGCATTTTGTTGCAAGTACTCACGTGTGCATCATCTAGCCGGGACAGGGGCGTGTGAAGTGCGCCTGGGTATATGGTAACAAATGTTCTGGCTTATTCTTTGCATTAATAGAACGTGAACAAGTGTTGAATATGAAGTTGAAAGTATGTTGATATTGTAGAATTATTCGATAGTTGTTGTTTTTGTTGCGGTTGAGCGACTACTTACTGTTTTATGTAGCGTTGCGTGGTCATAGGTACTTTGTTGTAGCGGTGTTGCACAAAGTGGCTACACTCCACACAGGCCTGACGTCCCAATCATTAAACTGCCTCACTTGTCTCACTTGCCGCCACCGAACCACTGCCACTTGCACATTAAAAAGTGTTAGCGGCCACGGCGGCGTTTATGTGCGCTGACCATGGCCGTGCGCAGTGGACCCATGCGCACACATACACCTGTACATCAGATAGGTGGATAGATTATAGAAGTGTCTAAGTGAAGTGGTTGTGTTTCTTAGCGCTCTGGGAATATTTACTATACACTCCTAGTTTTCAAACATGACAGCAATATACTTTTATTAGAGACTTACCGGGAGACTGAACCATTTAAGAGGATACTAAACCTAAAGAAATAGGTAAGCAGTGTTCCCAAGTCTCAAAAATTTTTCTCTCTAAAACTCCAACAAAAAGGGGTATAAATTCCCATTCGACTCTTTAAAACCTTAAATTTAGGGGGGAAATCCCCTGTACTAGACTCAAACCTTGTCAACTTTTCAACAGTAGATTCCATTGTATATTCAATAAATTTTTAAGAACTTAATTATTTTTATTAAATTTTTAAATAATATATATTATGTTATATTATGTTTTGATAAATAAAAATTCCGCAAAAAAATTCATCCGCAAAAAGTTTCTCACTACTTGCAAAAAACCTCCAATTTAGGGCAACATCCCCCGAGTTGGCATCACTGCCATCCGTAATCCACTAATTTACATGCACATAACTCCGTTGCTGGCGAGTGGCACATTTGCATAGTTAAAATCACATATGTAGGTATGTCTGTATGTATATATATGTATGGCATTATTAACACGGGTACGTGCACTAAGATTTATGTGCTTTTAAAAAGGAGTGGCGATTATGCTTGCAAACAAGACATTCATCAAGGCAACCGCTTCGACCGTTTCTAATGCAACCGAATTTTTAGCACCAATTTAATCCCCTCGTTTATTGGGCATACAAACGAGACATATTTTTATCAAATATTTCCATGAACAGCGCGCTGACAATTTATTTGCTCGTCTCACGAACACTCGAAGTAATTTCAGCTGGCGTTTGGGAATTAGTCAAAGGGGCTAAAACCAAAAATAAAGCAGGTGAGGGCGTCAAATTCAACTGCATTCGGAGTGTGTACAGCTAGTGAAAATTAGATGAATAATTAAAAATATTATTTACATGAATAATGGGCAATATGCAATAAGATGGTAATTATAGCAAGGGTTGCCATAACATAGAACATATTTGCTTATTAACAATTAACTTTTTAATAGAACAGCTTTGGAGAAAAATGTTTGCGAGCTTTAAAGGAATCTATTACGTAGAATGTTTGATACTCGATTTTTTTTAATTGAACTACGATGGAGCTCGGTGGCTTGGCTCCATCGGCTCGGTGTTTATTTTTCTACCAACTCTTGTGGTTCCCGGTTTTTATTTTGGCTCAGAATACGAATTTTGCGTATCTCCAACTACAAGTATATGTATCAATCTTAGAGTAGAAAACAAATAATCAAAGAAATATTTGAAGGTGACTGAAAAACAAAATCATCAAATCGGTAGACTGTTGGGACAACCCTTGCCCGAGTCAAGCAATACAAAATTCCTTATATGGCTGAACGTTCGTTTGAAATGATTTTCAATATAAAGCTTTTTGCACCAAATGGAGTAGAAAGGTGTTAGATCGCTTCTCCCTAAAATTGGGTAATAACCCTTGAAGTTAAGAAGCACTCCTAGCGTAAAATAATTTTTTTTTATATTTCGATAGATTATACTTTTGAACATAACATACCAAAATGTTAAATCGATATCTCAAATAGTTTTTGAGTGACAGCCTTCTGAAGTTCTGCAGATCAGTTCAATCAGCTACGCGTTTTTTCTCAAAACGAAATTTTTAAAATTTGCTTGAGTGGTTACTGGTAGACAAATGAGCCGATCACTATAAAATTTAGAACTACCAGTTTTTTTAACCTGATCAAAAATTGAATTTTGGCAGATCAAAAGCGACCAAAATTATGCGTAAAACTCAACTTTATTTTTAAACGCCATAATTTTTCAATTTTTATGTCTTGAACACAGTAGAAAAGGTTCAATAGAAAAGGTGAATTTTGAATTTTTTTGAAAAGTATTTATTTATTCATCAATATCTATTTTGTCCCCTTCATAGTAATCCCCCTCGGATATAATACACTTGCGCCCATACTTTTTCCAATCCTTAAAGCACTTCTGAAATAAGCTTTTCAGTATGGCCATCAGCTCTTTCTGCGATTCTGACTTTATCTCATCAAAACGCTTTCCTTTCATTGGTTTTTTCAGTTTTGGGAATAGGAAAAAGTCGCAGGGACCAGTTATGATCCGTTTAAGCAAACCCGGATCGTTGTTGATGTCATTCAACAACTTCTGAGCGATACTGCTTTTGCTCAAATCATACCCAAAACATATAAAATTGAATGGCATTAGCCGATTAATATGCCAACTCCCTCTGCAACTTCCCTAATAGTGATTCGATGATTTTCAAGAACAATTTTTTTTCACTGTTTCCAGGATGCTCATCGTCATCAACATCTTCTGGGCCTTCTGTAAAGCGCTTGTACCACTTATAAACACTTTTTTGAGACAAATTGGACTCACCGAATGTCACAGTGAACATTTCAAATGCTTTGGAGCACTTTATTCCATATTTAACGCATTTTGATCCATTTCTTTTAAAAATCAAAAATCTAAAAGCACACAAAAACGTCACTAACTGTTTCTGTTGTCAAAAACAAACTACTAATCGAAATTGACTTCTAATGCAAGCACATGATAAACATATGTGTTCGATTATAAAAAAAAAAAAAACCGTTAATCGAATGTGCGCAGCCCGCGAAAAATCTAAATTTATCTTTTCCTTTGAACACACCACCTATATCTTTATATATTTTACAAAGGCCAGTTTTATGTCAGCTATATGCTAGAGTAAAAGGATGTGTGGACAATTTCAGATTGATTACTCAAAAACCGAGGAACTATTTCACGCATATACAGACAGTCTGAAATTGTCCACACATCCTTTTACTCTAGCATATAGCTGACATAAAACTGGCCGATCAAAATCAAGTTCTTGTAACGAATCTTTTGTATATGTGATTTTTTCTTTTTACTTTATTTCGACCGTAGGTCATTGTACGGACAATATCTTCTAATAGGGATTTTGTTTTTCAGATTTCCTCAATGGAGAAGGTCGGAAGCAATACAGCAGTGGAGAAGTTTTTATTGAAAAATTGTATTGTATATTTTATTTGAGTATGTTTTCAAAAATTGCCTCTTTTAGGATATGACATCTTAAAAGAAAAAAATATACAGAAGCTTTTTTATTAGAAATAGTAAGTGTGCGACCTCGCTATAATTTATAGGTTATAGTTAGAAGAAACTTTGTAATTTCATTAAAAACTAAAAATAAGTTGTTAGTACGCGTTTTAACTCTAAGTTTCTGCCCTCCAATATTTCTTCAAGAATTATATCGATTTTAGTTTAAATTATTTCTCTCATAAGCGCGCAACGTTCATTGTTTCAATTGCAATTGGAAGTCGAAAGAGCTCCGCTTCCAAAAACAAAGAAAATTGTGTGTGCTAAGGCAAAAGTTAAACTACAATTACCCAATACCTGCCTAGCCTTTCTCACCGAAAGGTCTTTATAGAAATTGCTGCCATTAACTTAATGCGCCCGAGAGCAAATACGAGGATAATAGAAAATTTCTTTGCTTGCAAACAAATTACGCGAAAACATTCTCACACTGCTTACTTACCACGCTGGTTGTTGTTTGCTGCTGCTGTTGTTGTAGTTGTTGTGCTGCCATTATTGGCAATATTTGAATTTGAATTCGATGAATTACTGTAGAAATTATTTGTGTGGTTCGTATGCCCATTCGAGTTTCTATTTGACGGCGTCAACGGCGATCCCATACCGTTGTCAACATCGGTGGCAACAACAATGGCGTTGCCGTTGCCAGTGCCAGTGCCGATGCCGGTGGCACCAACGACTGCAACGTGACTGGCAACTTCGTTGGCGGTTGTGGTGTTTGTATTGATGTCAGCCTGTTTGGTTGTTGTCATTATTTTTGCTATTTGTTGTTGTTAGTGTTGCAGTTGCAACGCTTGCAGGCACCACGGCAGACAGGCGTGTAGTTATTTGCTGTCCGCAGTTTGCAGTTTGTTGTTTGCAGTTTGCCGTTATTTGTTGTTAGTTGCTGTTGTGTTGACCGGCAACGTTCAACACCCTTATTTGTTGCAGCAAAGTGTGGCCCTCACCGGCAATTGGTGGTGGCACCTCAACAAAAAATTGTAATAACACAAGTTGGCGAAATTGGCGAAAGGAAAAAAGTCGCAAATGCAATATCTTTTATCTAAAACACTAACGGCTTTTTGGTTGTTACTTTATGTTGGCCTGTTTATGTGTATTACTGGGCATAATATTTTCTCGCTTTGTTTACCGTGTTTGTTTTTGTCAAGGTGTTGCAACAATCATGCAAATTGCGCGCGCAAACAGCAATTGTTTGTTGTTGTAATTTTTGTTGGCTTTTTCGGTTTTGGTGGCGTTCGGCGTTGCAATTGCTCTGACAGCTGTTACAGTTTTTATTAGTGTTTATTTTACACTCGTTGTTGTTGCTGTGTCATTAATGCAAGTACACCGGTACTCAAAATATTTGCTGTTTTTTTTTTGTTTTTCTTTTGTGTTTGCTTTGGGCTAGCGCATAAATTGTCGGGTTATTATTTTTGGCTTTCAATAAACAAATTTCACTTTCCACTTCAATTTAATGTTTACCCTGTAATTAAAGCGTGAAATATTTGTTAGTGATCTTGTGCAAAACAAGAGTAATTACATACAATTTAAAATTACTAATATTTGCTGCAATATACATACATATGTTTATGTGTTTGTAGATCTTTTAGTACTTTATTTGTTTATACCTAAATCTCTAATTGGTTTCGCTAATAGTTAGCACGCGTGATAGCTAAGTAAATGATTTATGGTGATAACTAATTGATTACTTACTTATGTTTTTAGATGTTTACAATAACTATATATCATATAATATGTACATACATACATACATACAAACTAAAAATTTATTTAAAACTTTTTTTTAATTATTCCGTAGGCCAGTTCGATTTCTGATCTGAAACTACAAATTAATTTGTAAATGGAAAATAACCGAAAGGATACTCCTTAAGAATGTATGTGATATTCTCTTCTTCTTCTAACCGATTAACTCTATAAACGATTATAAAGTCCAAATTAACGAAATAACTATTTAAGCTCTCTCCTTAAATAATTGATCTTTACAAATCAAAAAGGTCAACCTCTCCCCCTGCCACCAATAAGTGGTATCGAATTCGAACTGTTGACCTCGTTATTAAGTTCAGCACACCCTTCGATCTTATGTTATATTCACCGTTATCAAAACTTTCCGAAAATCAATCGCAAAAACTTTCGTTCGAACACTTCAAGAGCCCTTTCATCGGCTATTATCAATGAGCCAAATATGAGTATGCCTTTATTCGATGAGAGAAAATTTCTTATTCATTCAATTTAGAAGCAATAGAACTAACGCGGCTGTTTAATGCAATGATGTCGATGCTTTCCGGCAATGTCAGACCAGAAGTTCTATGTTTTTTGTGTCTGAATTATGTTCTTCAAAATATCGTGGAGGTAACTACCCGCAAACGAAACGCTCATCGGTAACTTCGCTTAGTATTTAACAGCTAATGAGGGTCTTCGAAATTCTTAGTACGCTGCAGGTCGGGTTCAATATCATTTTATATAAAGTTATTCAAAATTAGGTTAGAATATTCAGATATAACAGATATATATGTTAAACCTTTTTTTGAGAATGGAAGCTGCTCTATAGTCAAACATACATACATATAACATGGGGTTCACAGCTATTCTCCCTGATTTGATGCATGGTAAATATATGTTCAATTTTAGAAATTGGAGATATACTCATTAAAAAAAAGTACTGATAAAATTCACTTACACAAATTCCACAATTAAAAGAGTTCGCTGGATCACATAATATTTTAAGAAACAAGTTTACTTTAGTGAGGTTGATCGCAAGGTTACAGTAAGATCAATCGAAGAATTATTTAGTTTTAAGCGGTCTTATGGTATTCTTTGTAAAAATAAATGTTTGGCATATTTAATAATTTCTTATAAAGAAGCCCATATCGCATGGTAGTTTATAAAAACATCTGAGCTCTATTCTTTCACCTCTACTGTTCGTTGTGTTGTGTGACATAAATGCGAACATTTTCATTACAAATTATTAGTACCTGTTATTAATACGCATATATACACACACTACGATATGTGTGTTGCATAATCTGTAAAGTATCGGTGGTCGATTATGAACAAGTGCCCGCTTAAGGTATCTACCGCGTATTGTTTATTCGGGCAGTTCTAGAAACGCACAACAACACCTGCGACTGCCGGCTGCGGTGTGGCGTGTAAATGTAAACAAATTGTAATGCTAGAAGCTTATTGACGCCCGATAAACAAATTAACAAAAACAAAAAGACAACAACAAACAGACCAATCGGTGTGAAATAGTGAACTGGAGAAGGGTATGAAAAAGTGCTGACGACAAAGAAAGAAAGGTTCATTAAACCTCGTCGAATTCAGGTGAATCGGCGACAAACAAATTGCCATGCAAGACACGTCCAACACCATGGCAATAGACAGGTAGACATTAGACGAGAGACAGCTCCTAAAATACACAGATTTACTATGTATAAATAAAGCAAAAATACTCGTATGTGCGTTGTAATTGTTAGTGTGCTGTTTTGTAGTCAAGTACCCACACATACATATGTACGAGTCCAAACGTATGTCAGTCCAAATGTCCATCAACGAGTTGCTGAGCCGATTACTTAAAAGCAAAAGTAGCCGAAGGTGAGCGCTGGCAGGAGTTGTTGTTTTTATTCTCATTTTTTATACGTTGCAATTTTCTCCTTGTCATTTTTGTTATTGTATCTAATTTGAAATGAAAGTAGCAGCGTCACTGCAAATTAAGTATTTAAACGATTACCCGGCTTAATGCGAGTTCAAGGCGCTCAAATTAATTTTATACTACAATGTACACGGTATGTAAATGCAAAGGAAAATTAATAAATGAATGAATGTTAAAATAAAAATGCGGAAACAAAATGAAAATCTATTAAGTGGAATTGTAAAAATTCTAGCCATTTGGAGTTAATAATTTTAATTGATCGTCTTTTTATTAACACTAAGCGAAAGTCGAAGCACAAAGTGCAAAATTTGACGAAAACAGGTCCGACTACATACTTCTAGTAGTTGGTTTTAAAGGCTACACGGAGTTCATAGCGAAACGGCTTTAGATTACTATTTGACGTAATTTATATAAAAGCTTATTACGGATTTGGTTTTTCTTTTTAAGTTATACAGAGTATATGGTATTAAGAAGGAAACATCGGAGACCCTATAAGTACAATATTATGGAAGTATAAATGACCAACGTGACGAGCTGAGCCGAGTCGAGTCAAATGGGTCCGTTTGTGTACATATACTCGAACTAGTCCCTCAGTTTTCGAGATTTCGGTATGAACTTTTGCACATATCCGGATCGGACCACTATAGCTAATGTCAAACCCTAAAAATGATGTGAAGGTTTTTAGAAGCTCGCCGCTTTAAAATGCAAATGCGTAACCTTATCTACAGAGGCCTGATTAGGTCACCAGAATTGAACTCCCAAGTGGTTGTATATAGTAGTATAAATCAACTGTCAATCAATTTTGATTGTAGGTTACAGTTACTCACTCCTCTTTAAATATAAATACTTAAACTTTAGTTTGAAGTTCGAAAATTAGCCTATTGAAAACATTATGTTGTTTTCAATAAACCCAATTTAAAAATTAGAAGGCATATATTATATAATATATTGATGTTCGAGGCTAACTTCGATAAACGGAGAAACTATTTTTATGCTTGTGGTTCAACGTTTCGAAAAAAGTTGGTTGGATTCTATACCAAGCAAGTCGTAATCGTGCAGTGTTAGTATTGGAAAATTAACTTCATCATATTATGGAAATATTATTTCCTTAACTATTATTAACTAGAATATATTCAGTAGGGTTTTCAAACTTTCCATGAAACCCTTTAATTTGTTCAATTGTACTTCCGCAAAATCTGAACTGTATCCCCTCTTCACACGGTCTAATTGAAGGTCTTGCTAATGCTTATACATCAGCCTCGTTACCAGACATTAGTTGATGTAGTTATAGATATATATATTACAAAGTATTTTGGATTTTTTGTTTATTATTTTAGTTTTTCATATATCATTTCCCCTTCGTCATGCTTAAAATCTTTATTTCTTTATTATTTTCTTTCCGGCCATAATTACAGATTCACTTTACGCGCTCGCCACTTGCAACTAATTCGTATAATGAGCCGAACAATGCGGCATTCAATACGCTGAAGTGGACTCTTCATGAACTCTTCACGCAAAAACCCTTAATGGCACGATCGTGCCATTTGTGGTAAGTACAACCATACATACTTTTATATATATACTATAACATATATCTTACTTACTGTATATACTTATGTTTATATATAGAGTACACAAATATCAAAAGAGCAGTTACAGATTCATAGGCACAGGAGGCCAGGCAATGAATGGACAAAATTTGTTGGAATGGGAATTCTAAAAACGGAGATTCGAAACCAAAATGAGTAGGAGCCAATGTATGTGAGCACATAAATGCAAAGAGAGGGTAAAATCGTTATGCTTTTGTATGGTTTAAGTGTTCACGTTTTTAGCTTTTTTTAAACTTATTTTTAGCGTGTTTTTTTTGCATGCACGCGACGCTACACCACAGCTAAACGTATTCATGTCAACTTGGTGGCACAAGACATGCGCCCAGTCAATACCGGTGCGACCGCATTCTTTAGCGGATTTCCGAGATTTGCACTTGAGGCAAATGCGTTGATTTCGCCGCCAAGCGAGAATCGCACACTAACACACACACAGGTTTAATACTTAAAATAAAAGCGTAAAAAACCTCGGATGCAAGAAGCGGAAAATTTTCACATTAAAAATTGGAAATAAAATAGCAAAACAGTAAATAAATTAAAATGCATAGGCAATTTCAAGTTGACTTAGATGGCAAGGTTGGCATTGCAGGAAAAGTGAAAAGCTGTGCGAATTCCTGCGGTGGGAAAAATTTCGAAAATTCAGGTCTACCAAAAGTCTCACACATATACAAACACTGACATATTAATAAGTTAGCATAGCTCAGCTGTCACTTTTCGTAGGCTTATTCCCATAAATTTTGCAATGGCACTTAGGTCGGTAACATGCATACATACATATGACTTATGCAGTGTGACGGTGTGTGCGATTGCATGCTCACTGTGCTTTGGCTTGCCAGTGTCTGTAGAGTTAACCGCTTGTGAAAAATGAAATGAAAAATTCACCGCACATATCATGGAGTAGGCGCTAGTGCACCCTCTCACCGTTCTACACAAACACGATTACTCACCAACACATAAACAAACGAACAGAGGCATACACACACATATGCATTGCTTAAACTAGTTTTGTAATGGAAATTCACTGCACCGCACTGCACTTAAAAATTGCGCCCACCAGCGGGTTTTTTATATAGGGAGTATGAGTACTCATATATAGTAACCGATCCAATGCCAAATTCGCGCAGTCATTTTATTCGCAACAAAACAATTGGCAACAAACAACACCACTTGGCTTTGCGAACAATCAGGCTGGATATCTTGACGCTG